GGTGTCAATCAGGATTAGGAAGGAAATGAGTGCTTCGAGCTCCACAGGCAGTTCTTTGGCTGCAATCTCGTCCTTCAACACATCTGAGAGACCATGAGAGGAAGCAGCCACCAGAGCCTCATTGTTCCAACCCACCTCTGCCACCAGGGTACGAAATTCTATGGCGTACTCGGCAACGGTTCATGAACCCTGATGCATGGACATGAGCAGCTTAGCAGCAGAGGCGGAGCGAGCAGGCACATCAAATACCGTACGGAAGGAGGCAACAAAACCGGCAAACTCATGAATCACAGGGTTATTGTTCTCCCATAAGGGATTTGCCCAGGCCAAAGCCTTGTCCGAGAGCAGCGAGATTAGGAAGCCCACCTTTGACCTCTCAGTAGGAAAAGCATGGGGTATAAATTCAAAATATATGCCCACTTGGTTAAGGAAACCCTGACACTGACTCGGTTCACCCCCAAACAGCTGTGGAAGGGGGGCTGAACCAGTCATACCTCTGGGCACCGCAGGTGTGGCAGCAGATGTGGAGGTAGGCGCAACAACCGGAGCAACAATGGGAGCGACCACAGGAGTGACAACCTGCCTAATAGCACCAGAAGCAAGGTGTGCTGTGCGTGCAAGCAGCGTCTGCAACACCTGAGCGAACTTAGCCAACAAGAGATCCTGCTGATCAAGTCTGGCAACCAACATAGGGAGCGGGAGCGTACCTGCACCGTCAGGATTCATGGCATTCGTGTAGTGTCAGGGAGCGAGGAGCAAGAAACACAAGGAGGTGCAATTAAAGGTAGGTTTATTAATATAAAAATAAGATAAGAGTCTATGCAAGTCCAACAGCGGAAATCGTAGCCAAAGCAGGGGTCAAGAGCCAGGAAGAATCGTTGCCAGAGCCGGGATCAGGAGCCAGGAAGAATCGTCGCCAGAGCCAGGATCAGGAGCCAGGAGGAATGGTCGCCAGAGCAGGGGTCAGAAGCCAGGAGGAGTCTTAGCCAAAGCCGAGTCGGTATCCAGGAAAGCAATGAGTAGCTAAACAGGAGCTTGCTGTTGTACAACAGACAGGACACGAATACAATGGATAGCCACAACAGCAGACTTATATGTGATAAGCCGCCACCTCCTGGGGGAGGAGCCACAGAGGGCTGAAAGCATAAATGATCCCACAATGCTTTGCAGACACCTAAGATGGATGCAGCACAAGGTCTGAGGAAAGGTAGGACCTTGACACTGATCCACTGTTGTGATTTAGGCCATTAAAGCAATAATTTCTAGGAAAATGGTCTAGGCATGGTGCAGCTGGATAATACCAGGATAGTGTCACGAATTCACTCCAAACAAGGAAACAATATTGGGGGTGTCCCAGAAATAGTAACTAAATTGTAACAGTGACCCACTTTAAAATCGAAGCAGATTGCTTCCAACTGGCATCAGTTCTTAGCATGAGTCTCAAACCCAAAATAGAAAGGATAAGTAAGTCAATTCAAAAATACCTTACTAAACTAGAGGCAGAGGGTTGACGCAGATAGATGTTATAGTTGAATCTACATTCTACATGTGCAGTGTAAAGAAGGTGGACAAAAAAAAAAATATTTTTGTATTACTAGTAAACACCTGTTCTTGCTGTACAGTACAGAACACAAGATCTTTACTCTTTACCATGAGTTATATGCAGCTAACTTCAGGTGAATGGAGACAAAACAGCAGTTGTAGGGACATCTTCTATATAACTTCTTCCACTGCCCAGCTAACCTTGATTTTGTAGCCAGCAATAGGGAGATTAAAAAGAACAGAGGGGAAGGACCATTGTCCTGTACCGTAGTCATGAAGTACAGGACATAGGAGTTTTCCAATATACAGTCCAGGGCTTGAATCAATTAAGTACTTTAACTGAAGAAATGTGTGTGTTTTACAAATCCACTCTCCGGGGTCAGTAGGGGGCCCCAAGAGATGCCCCTGGTACCTTTCATTGGCTTTTTCATAGGCTTTTTTGGGTGTGGGCAATGACACAGGGGCCCCATGATCCCCTATTGCCCGGTGGCCGCATGAGTTGTCAGTCCGCCCCTGATAGGATATGTAGTCTTTAACTATAAGACATCCAAAAAACCCAACTGAGGGGCAGGTGACATTGCAAAAAAACAAAATAAAACTATTAGGCCCACATAACAGACTTGTCCAGAAAGGCTCAGCAGAACTAAGAGAGCAGCTTGTAGCACCTTACATCAGAAACTAGAATCAGAGGAGACCTAAACATCCACTCTGTAAAGCTTAACAAACATGTGAAACAAAGACCAGGTGGTATCCTGGCAAATCTGAGAAGAGAAACAGATGACTGATGCTGAAAAGCCCTTAGAGCTGATATAGTGTGCCTTAACAGGAATGAAAGGAACCCTATCCTCTAGACCACAGGTGTCAAACTAACGGCCCTCCAGTTGTTGCCAAACCACAAGTCCATTGAGGTATTGCAAGATTGACAGTTACCAGCATGACTCCCAAAGGTAGAGGTATGATGGGACTTGTAGTTTCGCAACAGCTGGAGGGCCACCAGTTTGACATCCCTGCTCTAGACTATATGCTCAAATGATGACTGGTCTAATCTGCCTAGCAATGGTGAAGCAAAAAAACAAAACAAAACAAGAGTCCAATGGTCAAAAAAGAGGCTGTAGCCATGTGGTGCATCTCATGTTGAGACAGTGGAAAGAAATTTCCTTGGAATGTTTTAGAGCAGGACATAAGGATGGAAGAACTGTGTCCTGGTTGAGGAGAAATGCGGGACTTTAGGAATGATGTTAGTGGCCAAGTGGGGAGCTCTGTGACGCCACATCGTTCTGCTTTAAGGAGAAAAAAGGATCTACACCTCTCCACAAACCTGTCTTTTTTTGTAACACCAAAAAGAGATATTTATAGGATAAGGCTGCTAACTCAAAGATCCCTTGCAGAGAGGTGATAGCCACAAGCAAGGTTACCTTGTGAGTGAGGTCAGATAAGGAACTGTCTCTAATAGATTGAAGGGCTGAAGGAAATAGGTTAAGGCTAAGGTGCCACAAAGTCAAACTGGAACATACAGGGGGATAAATGTGTGCAACATCCTACCTTAACTAAGGAATGAAAGTCCAATGGTCTCTGAAACTGAACAGCTAAAGCTGAGATTTGCCTCTTGAAGGTATTCATTCTGGGATGCTGTTCTAGATCAGACCTGAAGAAGGACAAGATGCATCCCATGGAATACTTCCAAGGGTAAAATTTCCTTGTCTTGCACCATGTAAAAATAGATTTTCAGGTGTGTTCACAAACTTTGCAAGAAGTTGATTTCCTGGCCCACATGAGGATATAGATGACTGAGTATAATAGGGCACTGTCCCCTAGGGCCCTGGCTTCAACAGCTATGCCTTCAAATATAATGACTGAGAAGAAATCTAGAGGACCAACCCTTAAAACTGGAAGATGCAGAGTCTGCCAAGAGTATGAATATGTCCTTACTATGTACCCCTACTCATTCACATGGGGGGCAGTATCTGGATGACCTCTCATTGTTAAAAGATCTGATAAGCGCCCACCTCGGAATGCCATAGGAGGCTTTGCATCCCCTATTTAGAGGCTATGTGGCCTGGTATGCTGCCCCCACCCCCTTTCCCGGCCTTCCAGGATACATGCTTGGTTTAAGTCACTGGTATGTGGAGTCCCCCCTTAAATTCATACCAAACCCAAGGGGTCTGGTATGCATTTTGGAGGAGACGCCACATAACCTTTTCATTATTGATGTAGGGTGTGCTAAAATGTGCAAAAATGACATTTACAATTTAAACGGTTTAACCACTTGCCGTCCATCCTATAGCAGATGTACTGCTACAGGGCGGACGTTCTGTGCAAAATCATGTATATAAACTTAATTTTGCACTTCTGCCACTGGGGGTGCATTCTGTTGTGATTGGACACAGCAGAAGCTGATCAACAGGTGCTGGTCAATGGATGAGCGCCAGCACTTGTTGATCGCCGAGGAGACTGACAGAACACAGCTCTGCCTATGTAAACAAGGCAGAGCTGTGTTTTGTCAATGGCAATCTGGCAAGCTGATGGCCTAGTTAAAACAGTACACAGTACACACAAAAACAGTGTATATTTTGTTAGTGTCACTGATTCCCACAAAGTGTCAGTTAGTGTAAAAAAATAACATTACAGGCTAGCCCCGCATCTTCTCCAAATGGGTTCCAAAACTATCAGCCAAGGAGTCAACTGATCAGCAAGCTAGGGGGCCACAATGGCTATGGGGTAGCCAGGAATCATTTCAAAATAATCTTTAAGAGAAAAAAAAGTCATAATATATAACATTCTCTTAATGGAGCGAAGACATAATCTCCTAAGAACATAAGCAAAAAAACTGAGGCTAGCGGGGAGTAGGAAGGGTTTTATAGGGGATGCTTCTCAAGCTTTCTTTTTAGCCATGTGCATTTACCTGTATATAATTCATGAATAAAGACTAAAGATCCTGTGTTTTGTAATGTATGACTAAGAGACTAATTTGTCTTTACAGAATTACAAATAATGTGGCAGCTAAACCAGTAAACATAAGTACAGAAACTGTGGGTCTAGTTGTTTGCATACAGCTATTTTTTAGGATTATAAATACACTAAGTATCTATTAAGACCTACACTATATTGCCAAAAGTATTGGGACACCCCTCCAAATCATTGGATTCAGGTGTTCCAATCTCCTCCATGGCCACAGATGTATAAAATCAAGCACCTAGGCATGCAGACCGCTTCTGCAAACTTCTTTAAAAGAAAGAGTCACTCTCAGGAGCTCTAAGAGACTAATTTGACTTTAAAGAATTACAAATCATGTGGTCGGTAAACCAAAGTATCTTATCAGACCTACACTATATTGCTAAAAGTATTGGGATACCCCTCCAAAACATTGGATTCAGGTGTTCCAATCACCTCCATGCCCACAGGTGTATAAAATCAAGCACCTAGGCATGCAGACTGCTTCTATAAACATTTTTGAAAGAATGGGCCGCTCTCAGGAGCTCACTGAATTCAAACATGGTCCCATGATAGGTTGCCACCTGTACAATAAGTCCATCCATGAAATGTCCTTGCTACTAAATATTCCACGGTCAACTGTTAGCGGTATTATAACAAAGTCCATGTAAAATGACAGAGTGGGGTCAGCGCATGCTGAAGCGCACAGTGAACATAAATTGCCAATTGTTTGCAGAGTCAATAGCTAAAGACCTCCAAACTTCATGTGGCCTTCAGATTAGCACAACAACAGTGCATAGAGAGCTTCATTAATTTGTTATAGCTGAGCAGCTGCATTCAAGCCTTACATTGCAAAGTGTTGGATGCAATGGTGTAAAGCACACCACCACTGGACTCTAGAGCAGCAGAGACGTGTTCTCTGTAGTGATGAATCAGGCTTCTCTGTCTGGCAATGCGATGGACGTGTCTGGGTTTGGCAGTTGCCAGGAGAATGGTAAATGTCTGACTGCATTGTGCCATGTGTAAAGTTTGGTGGAGGGGGGATTATGGTGTAGGTTTTGGACAATTTCATGCTCCCAGCTTTGTAGGAACAGTTTGGGGATGGCCCCTTCCTGTTCCAACATGACTGTGCACCAGTACACAAAACAAGGTCCATAAAGACATACTGTAGATGAGCAAGTTTGGGGTGGAGGAACTTTACTGGCCTGCACAGAGTCCTGACCTCAACCCAATAGAACACCTTTGGGATGAACTAGAGCAGAGACTGCGAGCCAGGCCTTCTCATTTGACAGCAGTGCCTGACCTCACAAATGCGCTTCTGAAAGAATGGTCAAACATTCCAATAGACGCATTCCTAAAACTTGTGGACAGCCTTCCCAGAAGAGTTGAAGCTGTTATAGCTGCAAAGGGTGGGCCAACTCAATATTGAACCCTACAGACTAAGACAGGGATGCCATTAAAGTTCATGTGTGCGCAAAGGCAGGTGTCTCAATACTTTTGGCAATATAGTGTATCTATGAATTAAGCAAAATCAGCTATAATTTCTATTGATCCTATAACTTTGCATTTACTTACCACAAACCTAATCCCCATATAGCATCAAATTCTTCACCCAGCTTTGAATCATTTTAACTTGGAAATCACTAGACATTATGTTTGCAAATATCAGCCCTTCATTCTGTGCAGAAACAGAGAAGGGCAACTGCTTTGCTTGAATGTTATGATACACTGGAGAAGATGTCCTAAATTGGCAGATTAGACAACTTGATACAGTGGGCATCAAGACTGTTCAATTTGCAAGGGAAATTGCACTTTGCAAGGGAATTTTTCTTAGAGATGAATGAGATGAAGCTCTGCTGACTTCTTTCATCCAATCATGATTGAGAAAAAATTCTATTTTTTTTTTCCTTGCATGTGATTAGGTATTCTTTGCAAAGTTAAATAGTACCACATTCACTGAGCTCCGGGGAAAATTCCTATGCAAACTGCAACTTCACTTGCAATGTGACCAACCTGTTTGCCTTTAGTAAGTAAACCCCAGTATCTTTGGTTCTGTCCCCATGGAACCTGATCTCCCTGTCATTTAGTTTTAGCTTTCGTTTTTCTCGCATCTCCATTTTTCTTATCATTTTTCTGTTTTTTTTTTTTTTATAGCTCCTGACAGAGGCAAAGGTGACTCATTGAGGAAGAAGACTACAACAAATTTTGTTGGATAGACTGGCTCATAAACAATAACCTGTATCCGGAAACCTATTGCTAGATCACACTTTGACACTCAATACAGAAGAAAATATCATATAAAATAATTGTTTCAAGCAATCTCCAAGCACAAAAGATTGTCTTTTGGCATTTTGAAGCTTCTAGCAGGTTAGACATTTTTGGTTGGCATCCTACTGTTTATCTTTACTGCACTTCTCATATTGCTTTGTATTTGGTAATGGGAAGATGACATGCACAGAAGTAGAAGTATGCATGTCAACTGAAAACTCTACTTTACTTCTGCATTGCTTCCATGCGAAGAAAGTTTAATTTGAAAATCTTGTAAAAATAGAATACTTTTATATTTTTCATTCAATTCTTCAAATAAACGTAAAACATAGACAGCATGGCTAAATTATGCCATGTAAACATCCTGTGTACCATATCTGAAGTTCTATTCTGTCACTAGTTTTCCTTTTGTATCAAACCAACAAATGATATCTCTGTGAATATTCAGGCAAAAATACTAAGGTGTGTTTTTTGAGCTAGTTCTCACACATTTAGCCACCGAAACCATTATTTTACTTAAATAATTGCTAGAAAAGAAAATCCCATCTGGTCAGTCCTTTCAGATCATACTCTAACTTCTGGCTGCCTTGGGGGCTACTAAACAGACTTTCTTCTCTTGTTCTCAGAGAGATCACTTTCCTCCTTGCATTAACTTTAAAACTGAAGACTATAGTTTGAGAAACCTTTTAGTCTTTTTTACATGTGTAAAAACACTTTTGACTTTAAATCTATGATTTTTATTATTTTTTTACTATTAAAATATATTATGAGTGTTGGGTGTTGAACCCTAATTCCTGGCTCTGCCAATGATGATCAATTACAAACCATAGAAGTATAAATACATATACAGTACATATACTAAAGTGGACTTTCAAGGTACCAAATTATCTTATGGGTATGACCTAAATATGCATATTTAAATAGTATATATACAGCCCAAGAAGACATCTGGTATGATGGAATGCATCTGGAGGCGCCTTCCCTGTGACGTCATTATGTATGAAGTTACTGGAAGTACAGTTTTCCATGCTGTTTGGTGACTATATAAGGTGACTTGTAAGTGTGATTCTTGTGCAATAATTGGTGGTTTTAACTTTTTACACTATGAGTGGTATATTTTTTATTCCTATATGAGTGTACATGTGTGTAAATGTGTGTCCAAGGTCATCTGAGGAGCGGCTTAAGTTATTGTGGTCTGACTTGATTTCCATTCTGGTTTACTAGCTAAAGCATATGCTGACCTCTCTAAATAAGGGGTCAGTATTTCTGGTAAGTATCCATCTTGTGTCCATGGTGGTGTTGGGTGATTATGGAAGACTAAGGTATGATCTTGTAGTGTTTACCTAAAAGGTAAATTGGACAAAAATTCTTCATGCACCCTCTCCTTTTGGAACATTTTTTTCACTTAATAAGTTAAGCACCTTTTTCACTTGAATGAGATTATTTTTGTTTATTATTCCAATTGTTATTTTAATTTATTTATATTTATAACATTAACACATTTTTGGTTTTCATGTACATTTATATTTATTAGCCAGTACTTGGTATCTATTTGTATATTGGAGAGGCTATCCTCTTTTTGTGTTTGCTGCTATTGTTTATTTTTTCACTTATTTGCTTGCTTTTCATTTTTTACTAAACTGTATATAAGCTCTTTTAAATTATTATTTACTCTAAAAGAATGAATTTTAAGAAATATGCCCACTAAATAATTTGCTGCCTTGAAAGTCCTGTTTAGTTTATACCGTATGTATATACACTTCTATGGTTTGAAATATTCTTTGGGATTATGTTACCTGTATCTCACTATTACTTAAGGCAGTCCATCTACATTATTACACTGAAAGTCAGTTAAGACTCTTCTGAGTAGTTTGAACATTAGAACTTTGTTTATAGTTATCACCATGTTGAAATTAACAGTAAACCTTTAGACCCTGTGGCACTTGTACAAATTCTTGTGTTTGGCAGCCTGAAACTGCAGGCATGAGAAGCTCTCGTTTGACCTAACCTTACAGGAAACATTTTTGTGTTCAGATACTTGAATCTAATTGTACTGTCTAAGAACGGGCAAGCAAATTGTATCTAAAAGTGAAAAGTGAGTCCGTGAATCTGGTTAAGCACTGCCAACTTTTACTCCACTGTCCATTTAGGCCCTTAATGGCTAGCAAGGGAATTCTCACTGGGCAGAGTGATGACAGTTGGTGGAGCTTAGCCATAAAGTCCAGCCTAAGTAAAAAAGTAATCTAAATCAGAGATAGGAACAAAATAAGCTTTTTTTAAAAGAATAAGAGGCAGTTCTGCGTGGTGTGATTTCAGCCCATTAATTTTGAGTGGGCTAAAAATTCACTGTACCGCCCCAAAAGTAGTGCATGCATTACGTTTAGAAATGCACTGCAACCAGATCACATGGTCTTCTTGTACCATGTGATCAGGTGTGGACAAATACACAGCAATTGTAACCTGTGTTTGGGGTGTCATTAACTTACTATTGACACCCACTGCAGATCGCATCTGCAGTGAGTTTTGAAAGTGGTGCGCGAAATGCAGGTTTCCTGCTCTGCGCACCGATGTAACCAGGCCCTTTGTGAGGATGTTTACCTTTAAAAGCTTAAACTGGAGTTTATTGTAAGCTCCAGATCTATTACTGGCAACTGTAGAATTTATTAATGGAGAGAGGATCAGCGAGATGAAATGGTGGTGGATACTCCAAAGTTGGAACTATGTTGAAATTTCCATCACATTTCCATCCGGGGAGTGGGAAAGATGTCACTTGGCAAAAAAAGAAGATGGGACTTCGAAGCTCTGCATGTATTTAAGAGGTACATATGTATTTGGAAAGCTGACATGATTTTTTTGCCTATACAGAGAGGATCAATTATAATGACACTGCAGTTTTAATTGATTAAAGACAAAGCTGAAAAAAAAAATGCTCTCATCATTTTTTTGGTGTGGAGAATGACTGCTAATTCTCTAGCTGTCAGAAGATTCCTCTATTGGGTATATACTGTATCAAACATATGTATCCAAGTCATACCTAAAGGAACTAACAGACAGTTAGCTAAACCCAAGAAGTATCAACAGCTAAAGCCAGGGATACAGATTCAGAGGAGCTTAATACATCCACTTCCAAAAATCTGAATTTTGTGAAGGCCTCCTTTTTATTATTATTATTATTATTATACAGGCTTTATATAGCGCCAACGGTTTGCTCAGCGCTTTACATTATAGTGGGAGGCAATACAGTAACGATACAATTCAATACAAGAGGGATTTGAGGGTCCTGCTCCTTGGAGCTTACAATCTAGGAGGGAGGGGTTATTTGTACAATAGGTAATAACTGTGGGGGATGGAGTGGTTGGAAGAGTAGAGGAATCCAGTATTAGCAGAGGGCGGGATAGGCTTCCCTGAAGAGATAGGTTTTCAGTGATCGCCTAAAAGTAAGTAGAGTAGGCGATAGTCTGATAGATTGGGGTAGGGAGTTCCAGAGGATGGGGGATGCCCTGGAGAAGTCCTGGAGATGAGCATGGGAGGAGGAGATAAGGGATCTAGAGAGTAGGAGGTCTTGCGAGGAGCGGAGAGTACGGTTTGGGTGGTATTTAGAGACAAGATTGGTTATGTAACTTGGGGCAGTGTTATGAATGGCTTTTGTATGTCAGTGTTAGTGTTTTGAATATTATCCGTTGGGCAACTGGGAGCCAGTGGAGGGATTGACAGAGAGGGGTGGCGGATACAGAATGGTTACTAAGGTGGATGAGTCTGGCAGCAGCATTCATGATGGACTGAAGAGGGGATAGCTTGCGATGAGGTAGGCCAATGAGGAGGGAGTTACAATAGTCGAGGCATG